AACCTGCTTTAGGTCCATCTGTACAAGACCAGTAATATGTAAAGTTTCTAGATTTTTGAAGTTTGGTGCGAGCGTTTGATTGAGCAATTTTAGTTTTAGTAATACTTATAATGTTGAGATTATTAGAAAGGCAGTAATCTTTCCAAACTTGTTGTTTTAAGTTTATATTATATCCACGTACATTGTATATACAGATAGATAAGCTAAGTGATTGGTCTTGTATATTATAGTTGAGGTTGTTTGAGTGATTCATGTTAGGTAGGGTGAAGTTTGAAGCTGTAGATAATGATAATAATTGTATAGTGATATTAGATTCCACAATGGGATGTAGTGGTGTTGATATGAAAAGGTCTGACAGTGAATTAGATGTTGTGTACTCAGAGTATGATTTTAATGGTATTGGCGAGTATTCTTAGTATTGATCTGTTTCTAAAATTGTATGATCTTTGAGTACCTCAAATTCATTAGGAAGATATATATGTGCTTCACTATGGTCTTTTTTGATGAAAATGATTGGCTTGTATAGGTATTTATTAGATGTGTATCTAATTTTCTTGATATGGTTAAAGAATGAACCTATGGTTTGAGGGTGTGGTAATAAGGATAGAGATTGACTAGATAGATATTTGTTATAGCAAATATTAGGGTTGAAGTTGAGCTTGGGTAATTGGTTAGTTGACAAGTCACAGAAGGTGGATGATATTGATAGTGACTTGTTGGGATTGTTTTTTACAAGGTCGCTCACCATATACTCAGCTTGCACAGTTTTCAGATTATCTGTAGCCTGCTCTGTACATTGAGTCTGGCTGTCATAAACTCAGAAATCCAGATAAATAGGCTTTCCCGCCCGCCTACTTACATCATTCTCTTTACCAACTACATCTTCCTCCTCTATAATCACCTCCTATATAATCACAGCTTCCATACAATCACATTAATTTTTGAGACAATTTATTAAAAAACTTATAAAAAAAAGCTTCTATATAATCACACTCTTTTATAATCACCAATTTTCTTGATACAAACTGTGTAATTATAGAGGAGGAAGACTG